CATACTTGTACCAAATATGCAGTGTGGAATCAAGCTGTAATAAAAAGTAGGATTAAATGTTCCACTAGGAACCCAAAGGAAGAATAAATTTAATGATGAGCTGGTCATGTGAACAGTGTTGTTATTGACTGCATGCATTGTAAGCATAATTCTAATACAATCAGATATCTTACACGTACGTAGATATGTAAATCGGCAATGGTGGATTGAGCATGGTAACCATTAAGCCAAATATAGTATCAATCAGAGATTACTGTTTATTTGCTGTGTATTTACACTTATTCTGCCAACTACTTTCACATTACTGAAAAGTAGTAAGTAGCATTAGATATACAGTGAATAAAATGGAAGCATTCTTTGCAATTCATCATCCAGTCGGCAGTTGAAATATTCACAAGCAGCATCACGAGAACTTCTCTAATACTTTTTAGAGGAATGTCACTGAAGGTTTGAAGGCAAAAATAGGTGAATTTTGATTTGGAATACAGTAATCATTCTAGTGTCAGATTGTTAATGATTGCCTGAAGCTGCATTGCGAATGAAGTGGATGGATAAATAGTGATAATGGTTGCTGTGTTAATATTTGGGTTTGTGCCATTATCACTGACTTACTTACTTACTTCGAAGATCTAAACACGTACCTATGTGTCAAGCATTCCTGGTGGTAGCTATTGCACCAGGAAGTTGCCACTATATATGTAGTGTGCAATTCCTGACATAGACCAACGTCAATGTCATAAGCACCACACGCATGTTGGTCGGGGCTGAATATTCTTTATTGACATTGCAATAAGAGAAAGTACATATTAGCACTACGTAACAGGGATTAACTCCATTTAGGCATTCGGAGTCAGATGTGATCATAAAGTCAGGTGATCATGCTTATTAAACACATAGTACCTAACTAGCAATAATTTTGCCATTTTTCAGCTGGTAATAAAAACGAAGGAAAAATATATGTAGGAGTTCAAGGTCACCAGTTGCTGTTGTTAAGGCTGGCTGACTCTAATGTTCACGACTTTTCAATAGAACACTGCACGCAAATTCATCCATCTGTAGTGAGTCACCAACAAGCTTTGGATCAATTTCCAAAAGTTGGTTTGTTTTCGGGATTTAATTTGTTTCAAGTTTTGTCACAGATTCACATTAGCCGGAGAAACATTGAAACCACCAATGAGCATAGGACAGCTATTCCGTCCTAGTATCCGTAACAACTATGTCTCTGGTGAAGTTGTTCATCTAATCACTCACGAATTAAAGCAGTAGTGCAAATAATGAAAAATAATAATAATAAAATAAAATAATGATAATAAGGTATTCAAAGCCTCCATTGTACTATTATTATTATTCCCTTGAGTTCTGAGTGGAACATAGGGCTTTGACCAGTGGAGATTTCCAATTTGTCCTCTGAGTGGCCTCACCTTTAAACAGTCTCTAATCTCCCTCTTGCACGATACCTTCCATGTCACCATCATACACCCACGCAACCAGTCGCCCCCGTTCCTATTCCGATCAGTTCATCATTCCAATGGATATGAAGCATGTTGTAAAATGTTTCAAGTACAATTGATTTTCATTTAAGTGTTGGTTTGTAGGGATTTGGTTGGTTACGGGAGACATTGGTTAGAGAACCATTGGAAAACTGGACAACCGTCTTGTCCTAGTTTGGAACTCTTCAGCATTCGCACCACCGGGGTCCAGAAGCAGGACCTTCTGGTTACAAGGCGAGTTCGTATACTATTAAGCCATTGAGACCCGATCAAATGGCCAATGAAATGATTTTCTCCTTGTGGTGACCTCATGCAAGCAATGTATCAGTTTTGATTAAGGTCTATTGTACTCATTGTGATCACAGACTAATGCTTCAGGAAGTATAGAAATGCAGGTATGCATGTGAGAAACTCAGTGTTTTCAGGCACAATTCCTGTTTATCCTTTGAGATTCTGACGATGATAATGATGCCTGACTTAAATTTCCAATTTTGCTATGAAACTGCCCTCTCCTTTCATTGCGATTCACTGATTCATAAAAAGTTATTATACGTCCCACCCAAACCATTGAAAAGATTCCCTTCGTCAATTTGGAAAAGAAAGCAAAGTTCTTAATCCACTGGAATTGAGTTATGTAGTTTTTGTTTCTGTTCTCTAGGGGGATCAATAGCTATGGTTGGTCGGACACTGCTGACAGACGAAGATGTATTTTCAGAGCTACATTAAGGATTTAACAACATTACTCATGATTAGACTACCAATGACAAACTGTCTGTGTTAGCAAATACGGGTTTCTGAAGAGCAGATTCAATAACAGCCTCATTTGAAACGCCTATTTCCGTTAGTTTTCAAGCCACCACTAAATAAATAAATAAATATCCTGGCTAAATTTTGCGACGTCACACAAAAAGTATGAAATTGGGGTGTAATTGAAAAAGCATCTCCTACAGCATGTGAACATAGTCATCCTATGAAAACTCAATTGCCTGTCTAATGGATTTTATCAAGCAAATGCTTGCGAAGACAAAATTCAACATACTGTCAGCAACCTGTAACAGTCATTACTATTATTAGCAGCCGCGGTATGTGGGTAAGTCAGCTAGCATGCTCAAGTGATTTTCGAAAATTATCTCAATCCTGAAGACTACAATGTTGACATATTCACATCTGCACCATTTGATTTCTGGGAGAAGGTCTACATTCACTAATAAATAGGTATTATAATGGGGAGAGCAGGGGTGAGACAGGGCAGATGCTAACATCAATCCATAATCCCTCAAACACTCACCGCTATGCTATAAAGAATCTTTGACATAAAAATGGAAGTGTCGAACATTATGCTCTTACAATTTCTGAAGCATATGTGTCAATCGACCATTCCAAACTTGAATGTTTCAGTGTTAACACCTGCTAGAGATAAGCTAATCTATAAAACTTCAAATGACTAAACTTCTAAATTTCACATGGACTGCAAATGTAAGAGCTATAACATAGAGCCCAGGGAAGAGACAGATATATCATAAAACTCCAGGAAATATACAAGTCGCTACCACTACTCCAGATAGATTGTTTAGCAGGGATTTCTAGATCACTTATTCTACTACGGATGACCGGAGTACTCAGGGCTTGTCAAGACAGCTGAATATGCATGAATATATATAAATGCAGCATAGCTCTCGAATGTCTTGACTTGGTTGAGGCAGTAATTGCTGCATGTATATTACATTCATTATGCTCTCTGTCTGCTTGATCTAATGACAGGTTATATCATGTATAAGAATATATATATCTTTATTTTTGCCAATACAGGTATGTTGGCATTCAGTGATACCATTTTCATATTACTGAAACTTAATGACTATACATTTCTTAGGAATAGACACTTTTGAAATTCCGTGTTAGTGAAAAGTGAGTTGTCATTTGGCCCCCATAATAATACTACTTATATCGTCAACTGGTAATTCAGCGTCGTGTGCTTCAGAATATAAATGGAATTTACCGTGTCTTAAATCAACATATCATGTGGGTTATGACATGATATTCCGCTACACTGCCTGATTTCTTTCCAATTATTATGAATAGAATAAAATCTTTTTACAATATGCGTGTAAAATTAATTCCCTTCGTTACAAAGAAACTGGTGATCTCCTGATTGATGGCCACTTCTAAATTGACTTATCAAAATAACTAATACATCACTTCATTCGACATTTTATTAATTTCCATTATTAGAAATGCGGACCGGAGATCGCAAGCAGAATATATTTCTTAAACTATCAAAAATATGCCTATGACTCATGCTTAAATATTTGTGATAGGTGCGTATCACAGACAGATACAGTTGTGTTGGCTTTGGATGAAGATAGAAAGTCTGGTTAATATTAATGATAATAAACGCATTTTACTGTGCACTCTCTTTTGGATAATCACAAATTACTATCAACTTGATGGATGAGTTTTGAAAGTATTATTGTCTGGATTATCTGAGTTAATTTCTTATGTGCAATGATGGCTGGATGAAACGTTCAAATAAGTTAACGTGTAATAGTCTCTTTTTCATCAAAAGATTTTCAGATCAATTATTCTGTCACGTACATACTAGTGAATTAATTGTTTGCCAAGGTAAACTAAAATTAGTGGGAATTCAGCCTGTCTGTCAACTATTTGACTGCTGTTTAATAGAGTAAAGACTTATATGTATAGCTAATTAGAGCGTGAATAGGCGTTTTCGGCGTATTTGATTCTAAGCATAAATGAAATTATTGGGGTCTATCTACGCTATAGATCATGTGAGTTCTCGACCAATTTTTCTTCACATTGCCAGAAAGATTAACGACCGTTTTTCACTTAGTATATGTTCACATTAACTCCTCACTATGTTTCAGAATAATTTATTTATCTCGTTTTAGATGCATTTGGTGATTTAAGAAGTCTTTCTTTGAGGCAATGAATTCATAGTGTGACTCAGCCTTAATTTTTTCACCTTTCTTATAGGTGGAACAAAGCTGACAAAGAAGATTATTCCTCAAATCTTCAAAAGTATACCTACTGTGTCGCCATGAAAATCAATCGTCAATATCACCAATAGACAATTTTTCTTTCATTTGCATATCAATAGAAGTTCTGCAGCTGAAGATAATCTCAAGATGGTGTCATTAGGATGGATAATTTTTGAAAACAAATTTGTCTGCCTTTATCTCCATCTGAAATGAAAGTGATGATGACATGGAAATATTGTTCTCACTACTATTCTTTTTATGGTTATTATACCCAGTGGTGGAGAGCCAATTTTCCTTCTGGGTAGATTGGTTGTAAGTCTTTGTGTGCCTGTATGGATATACTGACGGCTTTTACAATCAAAAGAGACAGACTTTCGGATCTATTAGTACACGAACAGATTCTCCTCGATAGGCGACTAATGAGACAATTCAGATCTAAGTGTAGATTGAAGTCTACGAAAATTAGATGTGCAGTGTGGTCAGCGAATTTTAGTAAAGGTCACACTTCTGTGAAACTTAGTTGTTAGGAATAATAATAGAGCTTATATGACAAAAGTCCAATAGATTATATTGGTTCCGACATAAATAGATTTAAATTCAAATTTCTGAATGCACAGTGTAGGATATCAAATCTGTGGTTAGACTTTGTTGAGGATTTCCAGAGGAGACACATACTAAATGAAACTGATTTGAAAAATAGGCAGATCGGCCCTCAATTTTCTTCTGCTGAACAAGACTGTTCCCTAAATCTTACTTACATATCATCCTGACCATTGCCGCAAATGAAGACCACTACTAAATATGATCCAGTTCGCTAAAGAAATGGTAGTGAGAAATGAAGGATGACATACTGTCATTCCGCACATATATGAGTATGTAATAGTTCACAACTGGTTGGGATAGAACCCTTTCTGCGTAGAAATCAGCGCCGTCCCTAATGCAACTCTCGAAATCCGGGGACCTTGTATCCCGCTTGGGATGTAAAGAAATGAAAAGGCAATACAACTAGCTTACATATTTTACATTATCTTTTCCTACAAATGTATCTTAAGTAATTTATTAGTGGAGTGTATTTAAGAGATTGACTGAAAAAACAAGCATCACTATAGTTCATGTCAATTCTCTTTGAAGCTATCCAGTGTAACTGGAAAATTTGGATATTTCAAAAGAATATATTGTTATCGTTGACCTATGGCATGAATTACCATCTGACAAGATTACTGGAAATAATGTCAGTTATTCTTTCTATTATTATGCTTAAATGCCTTGTCATTTCCTTTATTTTGATCGGTTTCATATTTTTCGTGTGAATTGACTTGACAAGTAAATGTGTGATTGGATTGTTCAGAATGTACTACGCAAATACATCAGAAAACATTTCCCAGATCAATTCGATCTTCGTGTATTAACCCCACAGAAATACAAATCAGCACGAACAAATTGATGTTCAGTTTGTGATGAAATATGCGTACAGTAAGTTATTTTATTCATTTGATAACGCGTTAGATTGGGACCCATTACCCAAAATTTATACTTTTTGGAACCTATGAGGCAAAAGTACTTGTTTCGCAAAAGGTAATGCCGCTCCCAGTGAAACTGAAACTCGTCATTGAGTATTTCACTGAAATCACTGGATCAACTTTGCCTATTCAGACCACTTGTTAACTGACAACGGCATCATTCACACTTTTCTTCTTACAAGTGAATAATCCAATTGAGTTTTCTGAACAGATGGATTTGAACCATCTCGAAACTTATGAAAGGATTATTTAGCTAACGGTAACTAACAGTTGAATTCAGCCTGTGGCATTCTGTCTTGTTGGAAGAGTGGTCAGCCAGGGGATGTATCGCATTGCCCAGTGAGTGATAGATGATGTTCCAATGAAGACTCAAACCATGCATTCATCATGTAGATATGACTATTCGTCATACATCTGCACGTTGGATGTTGTTGGTAATGCCTGTATTTTTCAAATAACCTAAAAATTCCATTATTTGATATTACTCATTAAATGGTTAAAATGAAAATGAATGAACATTGAGTGTGTACATAAGTTATCGATCAGTTTTCATTTTTCAGCCTTCTGTATTCAACATATTTTCTCAAAAACAAAGTCGGAATTATGTCGGGTCTCAGCTAATTTGATTCGATATCATGCGTTGATTTGATTAACGGGTTAGGTACTTCACATGATTAGTAATGAATAACAACAAAAAGAATACCGCCGCTATAAGAAGAATATTAGTGAAACTATGGAATGACAATAGCGTGTTTATCAAGGTAGCTGTCGATTAACTCGTTTTCTTCTGTCTCACAAAACACGAGACATGATGACATCATTTTCCTCCTGTGCATATATAAAGTTGGGCTTAAAAAAGACATTTAAAATTGTTTCGCTATCTTTATCCAAGCGTTTAACGAACGAATACTGATGTTATTCATCTGCCTGATTATCATTCTGGTTTTACAAGCCTGTGGTAATTAAAGCGTCTTCTGATTTCACAAATACGAGAAGTTTCATTTCTGATTTATATTTTGAAATTTTTCCAAATTGAAATTCGCATTTTCCTGTAATTTTGAATATAAAGATGTTATTTCGATTGATAATGGCTGACAATGTAATTTAGGACGGCGTAAGATGGTTGTTAACTCCAACATAAACTGGATAAAGAGATATGCAAAAGTGATTGCAGAAAGGTTACTGCACACTTTTACCAATATCAACCTTAGCAGGCTTCATAGTGAAGATAAGATGGCCGGCGAGAATTGGCAACAAACAGTTACGGAAACAAAATGAACAAGAACATGTTGTCCAACAAGTAAGCAAGGACAGATTGGACACACGTTGGGGAAACTGTTCAGTCACATCACCCTCCACGCTATCTGAGGCATTAGTGGTTGACGTGGAGTGGATTGTGTGACTGAGAGATTGACAATGGTGCACCTGGCTATGGAGGACCGCAGAAGTAAGGATGAAATGTAGATGTGCAATTGAAGCTCTGTGTTCAACTCTGAAACTAGGGAAATAATAACAGTGAGTTGTGTATGGTAACCGTGTTCCTCATCCAGGTAATCTCCGTCATTGCAAAATACTGCTTGGCGAAATTTCGATCATCGACATTCAACACACAGAATTCAAGTAATAGTATGCAAAATTTGCATTTGATTTCATCATAGCATTTAGCATTTGTTCTTTATCTGGCTATACGCTGAAGACTAGTCATTTACTTTTGTCTATATTTCATTCTATTATTTGTATAATCAGTGCATTTAGATGCAGGAGGAATAGAAGGTCTTTGTGAGTTATTATGAATTCATTATTTATCCTTGATTCAGGGTATTTTCAATTCACATGAGTGGCTTCCGGCTAGGTATCAGCTTTTATCAGGGAAATTGCATACTTTGAGTTTGACTATTTACGTATGCATAAAAATGGGTGTAAGAGACATTGGTTTGCATAAACTTGTGAAAACGCTGTGTTGGTTCAGTAAAGTATGCTCAGTCAACTTAGCATAAAGTCAACTAAAACCAACTTTCCATAGACTTATTACTTGCAATTGGAAGTGCAAAGCGATTGCAACAGGCTACTGCCCTCTTTTGTCAGTGTAAACCTTCGCAGGTTCCATAGTGAACACGAAATGGCTTGCAAGATTTGACAACAAGGAGTTGTTGTTCGGTCACACAGCGTTCCACGCTCTCTAGGGTTTCTGTGGCCGACGTTGAAGAGATTGTAGGATTTGGAGATTGACAATGGTGCACCTGGCTATGGAGGACAGTAGAAAACTGAATAGAATGAAGATATTCTATTGAAGACTCTGAAACTAAGGAAATAATAACAGTGAGTTGTGTATGGTAACCGTGTTCCTCATCCAGGTAATCTCCGTCATTGCAAAATACTGCTTGGCGAAATTTTGATCATCGACATTCAACACACAGAATTCAAGTGATAGTATGCAAAATTTGCATTTGATTTCATCATAAGCATTTAGCATTTGTTCTTTATCTGGCTATACGCTGAAGACTACATTCATATACTTTTCTTTATTTTTCATTCTATTATTTGTATAATCAATGCATGTGGTGATATTTAATGAAGAATTATAATTACATTTAGATAAAGGAGGATTGCTATGGGACTGTGAGTTATTATGCATTCATTTTTCATCCTTGAATCAGGTTATTTTCAGTTCACATGAGTAGCTTCCGCCTAAGTATCAGCTTTGATCAGGGAAGGTATATATTTTAAGTGTAACTAATTACGTATGCATAAAAGAGGCTATACAAGTGACTGGTTTGCTTAAATTTATGAAATCAGTGTATTGGTTCGGTGAAGTATACGCAATCAGCGTAGTATAAAGTCAACTTATAGCGACTTTCTATGGACTTATTAAATACAATCAGAAGTGCTTCTTCTTAACCCTTATTTCTTTTCTCCTTTAACACGTATGAAGTTTTGGTCATTTAGGTACCTGGTTATAGAACATAGTCTTGTTTCAAAATTTAGTTGTCCAAAATTTATAGATGTAGAGTAAAAGGAGACTGAGAAGGGAAAGACGTTTTTGTTCACTCTGAGGAACATTTCAGAAAAACCAAAGTTTTCTGTGTTTCAGGCATCTATTAGATTCGAATACATCGTATGTAAACTATTCGTGTTAAGGTAGAAATTCATCATGATTGTATTTGCAAATTTAATTTTCATATCACCATATTTGATTCGATATTTAGCGTAAAATACAACTAGGAAAACATGGCGAATACACCAGAAAACCTTCATTTCATTTTTACCTTAAAACTGAAAATTCTAAATTGATAATCTTTCTTACATTTTGTTGAAATATCAGTGAATTTTCAGTAGGTTAGATGAGCAGCGTATTTCATATTATCCCTTCCACACTTTACAAATATCCGATCAAGTTTGCGTGTACTGAAGTGACCTGAGTAGGCTACCTAAGTGGTCGGCTTGAATCAGTGAACTACCTGAATTTTGAGCCAAATTAGTGCATCGATTTTTATCTTATTTTTTATTGATTTAATCACAGAATGATGCTTATAAATAGCGAAATGTATTAACACACATTTTCATTTGACTTCCAACTCATGTTTGTGCATTTGTGTGATACAAAAGAAAAATATTACATGGTAATGGTTTTTTCTGCCGACCTAAGAGCATCGTGTCACGTGATGCACAACAGATTCTTGTTTTACCGTAAGATATATTGTTCATTTTATTAAACCGAGAATTTTGCATATTGTGTAAACACTGTGCTCAGAATAAAACCGGTCATCACATATTGAAACACACACAACTAGTCAGAAATCATTTTCAGTCCACTTACAATATATCTATTCAGCGTTTTAGGAAACAGCCTTTCGGAATTTGTCTTAGTTTGTTTCAAGTTTCACAATTATCCTGAATCATTCTTTGATAAATAGTCAGTGTGACTGACACTATTTCGCCCATTTTACTCTTAACATCTCTGACTACAGTTTCGTTTTAAATCACCAATATGAGTAGACACAGTCAGTTACCCTGATTCCGTGTTGCAACATTTTACTACCAGGTTTAATTGAGTGCATCGAAAAGCGTAAGGAAATTGTAAATGTATTTAGCACTGAATAATTTCACATGATATCTGATGTTCTATGCATTTTATGTAATTGGTGGATGGTGACTAGCAGTGGGATCCAGGATGCACATTTCGTCCTATTTGGGACTAGTCATCTGGATGTACTTACTGCATTTCTCAGTGAGTGATGATGTTCCCACCGAGGCTCGAACCCAGTGCCCATAGTTTCCAATGCCAAACCGTTATCCACTAGGCAACTTGGGCCACGAGAGCCACCTCTTGTGCAACGGGTCATATTAATTTTATTAAATTTCAGATTTTCCAAAGTGTGTTCACAATTCAATTAAATTAATATGACGCGTTGCACAAGAGGTGGCTCTCGTGACCTAAGTCGTCTAGTGGATAACACTTCGGCGTTGGAAACTATGGGCACTGGGTTCGAGCCTCAGTGAGAACATCATCACTCACTGAGGAATCCAGGTACATCCAGATAATGAGTCCCAAATGGGACGAAATCCGCATCCTGGATCCCACTGCTAGTCACCACCCATCAGTTAAATACTAATTCAATGCACAGAAATCGTCGAGCATCTTCACAAGAAGCCGACATGTCGACGTGGGACCGAGCACTTCGGTCCACTCAATCGACAGGAAAATCTGAAATTCAAATAAATATGCATTTTATTGTTTGAAAATCTCATTAATACCACTAATATTACTTGTGGATGATAGCACTGCTATTCCAAACTGACAAATACTGAATTTAACTAACGCAGTATGTTGTTTCTAATATCTTAACCGGATTTGACTCATTACACTTCTTCATATTTCGCGAAATATACCAATCAGTTCATAAGGGAAAACACAGTTTTCATGTTCAGCGGAGAAATATCTGTTTTCAACAACTGCATTTTTCATGCTTTATTGTCGTATTTATATTATGGAAAAGGGCATTAAGTAGCACTAGAAATTGCTCAGCCGATTTGCATTTGATAAGAATAAAAATAATTACAATGATGTATCAAGTGGGTAGAGTTGCAGTGAATGAATTACAGAATTTTAAAGATTATTAAATAAATGAACTAGTGTAAAGACTTCAAAATTGCAGGTCAAATGTTACCTTAAAAAGTAACAGTGTGTTAATGTAACAGTAAAGACAGCGAAGGTGGAATGAATTCAAATGGTGAAATAAAAATAAAATAAAAGAACATAACTATGACCAAAGTAAAGAGAGGGACTTAACAAAAGGTTTTTGAACACATAATTTAGGTTGCTGTTCATGGATAGTTAGAGCTTCGGTTATGCATAACTGGAGGAAACGTAAGCTTTTGGAGTGATTGCATTCCGTCCTGTAAATAACACTAAAAGGACGAATCACGTGGGGCTGAATGAAGTGACTCCAGAATGTGTTCACTTTTTGTCAACTAAACCAGGTAGTGTCCAGTTACAAGTTTTCCTTTTTTGCCTGGTTTATCTCATGTACACTGATCAATAAATGTCATAGATATTGTCTCTGTGAACAATAGACTACAAGACTTTTGACAATTTTTCATATGACTTTAGATTCTCCCAGTCCAATATGTTGTAAGTAATACATTTTAACTACAGTTTTGAGTGAATAAATATTCTGTTTGAAATTCTGTAATGATATAATGCTCAAAGTGGCATTGTTCCTAATCTAGCCAAATTTGGCTGAAAAAGTCTCAGAACTTTGCCAAATATACTTTTCAAGTACCTCGCTAATTTTTTATGATCTTATCATCAGTTTTAAAAGAAATCACATCAGTATGGACAAAAAACTAAGACTTTTGAATATTTACCGTAAAATATTTAGTGATTGGATTTAAACCGATCAATGATGATTGTGGTAAGTCATATGCGTTTAAATTAAAGCATCACATCAACATATGGTATTTTGACTCCCATCATCCCAATCAGCGTTGGGAAAGAGATTAAAAATGCATGGACCTGGCTAATAACATAAATATCATGTAAGCGATTCTAAAGTGTTATTTTCTAATTCAAGAGAAGCTCTTGAGATTTTCATGGACACAAAACAACGAAGAGATTTCCATAATATTTGTTTGCATCCAGATACTGACTGTTTAATAACCATATATCTGTCAAACATTTTGTTTAAATTTCCGTTATTAATAATATTTACTAAGGAATATAGCCGAATTCGATGCCGAACCGGTAGTATGCTTGCCAGTTACACAGATGGTGCAGGACGCATTCCCAAACCTATCTTAGCTGGCAGTGGAGAGAGGAGAAAGAGGGAAGGTTAAGAGTGAAACCAGTTGTGAGTCCCATGTAAGTATAGGAACACAAAGGAATGAAACAAACAATTTAGAAGTAGAAACATGTACAGATTTCGAAAGAATAATATCTGTACAGACTCTGTAACGTTTTCGAAGCTGATAAAATTAATTCAGGAAAAAGAGACTGTAAACCAGACTAGTTGGCTTTTGTTTTATTCGAGAATTATTCCTCGGTGGATCGAATTCATTATCTTTGAGGGAAAAAGATATGATCAAATGTGCAATGAGTACTCAGTGTCCGTTTTAGATCAATGACTTTGCAATCGCTATTCCAACTAGCTTGATATTTTTGTCATGAAATTTAAGACAAAAGGAGAGGTTATTAAATCGTTTAATTTGCCTTGACTGAAAGTTGACTTATCTGATACATGACTGTACAGAAAACCAAGAAGTTTAACAAAGGCACCTTTTCGGTGATTTCCATTTCAAAAGCTGTACAAGTGAAATCAACACACATATACACGCAATTTGACCTTATGAAAATAATCAGCTAGTCCAATATGGAATTTCAGTCGAGAATAAAGGAGATAAAAATTTTAAAATTGACTAGAAAATTAATGAGTGTGATGAGAGACGAGTATAAATCGCAGGAGGCATAGAGACTGTGAGAGGTTGGATTAGGCAATTAGTTGCCTGCAGCGTAAAATAGTTTATTTTATATCAAAGAGTGAGGTGATGAGGTTGTACTTGGAAAAATTGAAATATTGTTTTATAAGTGAAGATGATAGAAAATTCCAAAAGAAAAATGAGCCAAACCGTGTTAGATCACTTATCTATGTACAAGTTGAACCAGAATCTTTTGAACACTAAGCCCTGGTTTCATGATGCACAAAACAGCGACTTCTGCATCTAATCTCTTTAACGTCATCATATCGAATTAAGATTAATTCTAATTGCAGTAGCTTATATGTATATATATATATATATATATAGACTGCGACTGTACAACTCAAGGGAAATAAATCACTGAAAAGTTATTCTCAGTGTTACACCATTTTTGTTGGCAGCAGTTATCTTGGGACTATTAACAGTAAAACATATAATAGCAGCCGTATAAAGGAGGATCAATACTAGACTTATAATTATTCGTTATTTGCATTTAAAGTATAATTTAGAATTTCATCGGTATGTGGTCACTGTGCTCGACTGTTTGTCATCACTATCAGCTGACCTTAAGATTTCCCACAAGCGCATATTCCCTCTTAGCATGATCTCCCCGTTCCACTTTCCGACACTTTATTTGGATTGCATAAGAAATCCTGGCATATAACGCCGCTCAGTGGCAATTTCAGTGTGTATTTGTAATCTACCTATGCTTCCGTCTGGGAATACGTTAGACAAGAGGTATTGGCTGGTAATTTGACAGTTCATTTGTTGCCAGCCATTTGGTCTTAGGTACCCAGGAAAAGGGAGCAGGTTTTGAGGGATATGCAAAGCTTGTTGTCAATGCTCTTAGTCACGCTAGCGCCAACTGTTTGGATCAAATATAATCAAAGAATTAAAAATGATGCTGAAAATTCGAGGTCTTGTCCTTGTCTTATAAAAAGAAAGAAGATATTCCTCCTTCTCAATATGATCAAACTTAGATTAGACTATCATACCTCGGCTGCATAAGAGAACGTTATCTGGACGTTCTAAATACAATTCCTGATCAAATAAAGTGTAATTATATTTTAATAGTTTACACACAATGATAAGTTTTGTTATTGGTGTGTAAACTATTAAAATATAATTATACTTATTTGATCTAATCCACAATGCTCAAACTTTTTACTGATATTAACAATTCCTGATATTTGTCAGTAAAATATAAATTTTGCATATGGTTTTATTAACTTTCAGAAAACAGGGAATATGTAGACTGTGAGAATACTTTGTATTTATGCCCTTATTTACATTTAATCGAATCAGGTACGGTAACCACATAACAAATTTTGACTTTAGCAGAAACGAAAATTAGACTACCTACTGAAATCAAAGGGTATTTGAAGATAAGAAACTGATTGAACTGCCTAAAGAATGAAAGACGGGTCACACAATTTTCAGAAGACAGAAAAGCCACTGAAAACTGCTTGAAATTATCAAACAGCTTCTTAAAATCCTCCTTATTAGTACATAACTGTGAAATGTTGATGTATAATTCACTAAATCAGATTTCAAATAAGAAGTTTTTAATTGGTATATATAATGGGTTCGTTGCATGCGAATAAAACAAACGCAACTAGTTCGTCGCTCTTTCTACGAGAAAGCCTGTGAAGAGTATAATATCGCGTGAATAAGCGATGGAATTTTGAGAAACGAATGGTGTATATATACCGAATTTTACCTAGATCGTGTTAAATTTCATCGCTGTAGAGTCAAAGCAACTTACGGAATGTATTAGTCCGTTTCGGATTATATAAAGTTATAAGATTTACTAATTAGGAATCCTGCAAAATAGTTTTCTCATCTGAAAAAAAAATATAACATTTTTAAATTCATTTATCTACTTGCATGGAGAATAAATTCAGACAATATTACCACGATAGTTCATCCCTGCTTTCAGCATGCTTCAATTCTCGCATCTAGGTCTCACATTAGTGAAGAACTTTTCAAATCTAATAATATCAAACTGAAGAGTGTTCAAATGAATGCATTGAATGTGAATGGGAAATAAAGTTAATTACAAATAAAGGTGTCCTCGCGTATTGATATTAAATGCATTAAGTTTAGGATTTTGAGAAATCTCTTCTGAAATGCAACATGCCTATAGAATTAAAATTAAGCAGAAGAAACATCACCATAACAAAAATAATCTCAGTTGCGTATGCAGTATATTATTTTATAGCATCAGCATAAATGATATTTTATATTGGATTTCAGGTGAATTCAAGTGCTACGAAGAGGATATAGAGTATGTTATTCATTACTAAATTATTGAATTACTGAAAGAAAGAATATGGTGATACAGAAATGTTTTGCAATTAAAAGAATTTTTATCAGAAAAATATGAAATCGTTTACTTAAGAGGGTCTGGTATAGAGGTAACAACCGACCATTGGTTTAAAAAGCATGACAGCTAGTTCAAATCGCTATTACCATCTCGGTGGGTGCGCAGTGATGAAGAGTCCCAAAGTAGGACGAAACAGCTGTCCAGTACACCCAGGTTTTTCAATGGTTCCCTAACTGACGTCACTTCATGATGAAATCCTGTAACCTTCTATAGTTATTGTTTTCTCCTCACTGTAAACCCAATACCCTTTTAGTCAAAGGGTTTCATCGGATTAATACGAAAAACTACATTTATTGACTTGTTGCACCTGAATACCTGATTGGCAGATACAGTGCGAATTCCCGGTTTTGAATAAAATACCAGCCTGAATATTGCACACCTTCACCGCTCAGGTTTCCAAAATCAAGGGGTACACCGCACGCTGATGTCACAGCACCGTCAGTTTCACCTTAGTATTATTGATCAGTGGGTAATAATGTCAGCAAAATATTCAAAATCGTATTTTCCCCCACGCAAACATCATAAGACAATGTGTAGAATAAGTACATTGATATGTTTAAGTAATCTTTATCAACAAAAGATCCATCACTGAAGAAAGAAAATTCCTTCCGATAACGTTATCGGATTCTCTTCTACATTTATGCATTCGTAATAACTGAAGAATTATTTTTATTGACAGCACGGATACTTTCTAAAATGTTACTGAATCATTGATATGCTGGTAAAGTGCCGGTTGTATTTTCACATGACTGGTTGTGTCTACCCGCTGAAAGATGAGGTCACTATACCATTTGCCTGTTTTCGTACCAATCATTTTAACTACTATTGCGGCGCCAGTTATATTGTCCGTTTCTCCAGAAACGTAATTTTACTTGCTTGGGGAAAACACGCCAGTTTGGCTAAATGAAGGTGTAGTGAAAGCAAACAGCAGATTGACACGAGATTACTCGATCAAAACAGACCATGACACTTTCACTGGAGAGTCCTTTTCCATCATCTATCGACTATCAGATAGATTGGTGAAGGCCGAATATGTAGAATACTCCAAACACGGGAGGCTCCTACAACTAGGTTAAAGTAGCCGTCGCCCTGTGTGCACATGAAACGTGTTGAGCCACTACTGCTACCCTGACCTGTTTGAGCATGACCTGCCATGCTGTATTTAGATATTTATTCACTCCTTTTTATGGCATAACTATAAAAAATCAGTTTCACACGTAAATATAGTCATTTGCTTACGCAGTGACACAAAGTTACTCACACTATTTTCCCTCTACGGTTTCGGCATTATCACTCATCCCTATGAAACTTATAATAAGAATGAATATGAGTAGTAGTCGTCAGCATTCATCAACATATATTAGTTATAAACCATGCCCATTTACATAGGAATAATGGGGTTCAATCTTCTGTTACATGGCAAAGTTAAACTTTAAGCACCACTAACTACCAATCAGCTAACAAGCTTCATCAGACCAGTCACACGGAAGAGGGGTTTTCGATTAAAGAAAACGTATATTTATGGGAAAAAAGCATAAAAACCTGATAAAACCGTTACATAATCGATCGTTTACTAACGTTTGACAGAAGCATCTCTCAGTTTAGCATAGAAGTGTCGATAGAAAAGCCACATGGCATTCTGTAGATATATTCATCCAAATGACTATAAATTCGATCCTTTTGAGTTACTTCTATGGCCCTTATCCTATTCTGGAATTATCCCCAAAATCCTTCTATAGAATTCGTATGTTTCCTTGTATTCGGATCCATAAAATCACTAGAATGGTCCATTTTGTGGTGAATATATCTAAGAGACGACAGCGAGTTATAACCTTTACATTCACCAGTATTTACTATGGATCCCTGTTTCACCAATCGAGTGACAATATGCACTAAGGTAGTAGACTTTCTGTCTGGTATTCTCTCCACGAATGTTTTCCTCAAGGAGGTGTCATATAAACCTATCGCTCAAACATTGTTGCCTCGCTCACGACCACGGTTGTAACTTTTCTTCAGAAACACAGTTTCGTTCACGTGTACGATGATACCTTCTCCGCCTAACAACGAAGTAATTCCCTTTATTTTCCATGAGGCGATGTCTCTGCAGTGCTGGTACCACTGAACTGTTGACACGCGGCTGTTTACAGTTTCAGCAGCTGCGCCCCTAACAGGCTGTTTTAAAACCCAGTAGTTACAAATATACAAAATCTACGTTAGGGGGAGCTGCGACCCAGCAAAAAATGTTCCTATAAAATACTAAAATTATCAGTTTACTTTCTTTAAAATGAATTCGTCTCAAGCAAATTGCACAACGATGAACATATCCATCAATCGACCTGGTAAAGCTTTCTAAACTCATTACACCACCATATGAACAAATCCTCCCCTTCCTAAGCAACTCCAAATCCAGGTGATAGGGCAAAACTTTATCCACTTAGCTGACAAAATGACTGTTGCATGCAGCTGCATTAAAAACAATATTTCCCTAAGAGAGTGACACTTATCTGTTGAAGGCCGTCACGATGAGATGTTAAGAAGATATTATTTAGCAGAAGTCATTCAGTTATTGGAACAGTTTGAAGAAAATTAACTTGAATATTTAGCCAGCCCTTGCTGATTCTATCACTTAAATATAACTCCCCAGAGTCAACATGTTATTCAAGCACTGCTTAAGACTCTGAGAATATCTGTGCAGCATATTGGAGGCTTTCTGTAAAACCTATAAAAGTAAAATACTTTGATTGTCATTAAAGTTGACATTTGCATTTTCATTCCTGTCCAAATGACAACAGCATTCGCTGCATTTCATTGAGAATGTGAACAAATGATCACTGAATAATACGGTGTTCATTCAATGAGTTATAATAAACTAATGAACGTAATAGTCGGTTCACGTAACAGATTTACATTTAAAGTTTGTAAGTCTCCATTTTGATTTCTACACTGTCTTTTTCTTTTTAGCAGAGCATTGGCAGCGCGTAAGGCGAGATTAGAAGGAAAAAACACCACCGATTGAAAATTCTGAACGCTTTGATTTGAATAATAATAATAACGACACTAGCTCTTTCTGAGCATTGATCATAAAGTGTGCGAATGAAAATCACTTATTTAACCATTATTTGTAATTGATTACCTTAATCATAAATACAGACTGATATCTCAATTAGATACCTGAGTTGATATCTGTATGAAGTATTGTTGTCGAGAATGTTTGGATATCACTAACTGCTTTTGTCAACTGACATGTCATCGCATACGTTTTAACTCATAGGAAATGCATCCATCGAGGTGTCTATCACTGGCACATTTGGTTGTCATTTCTGAGATGAAGCCGCATTAGGCAAACAGGATGTTTGCAGAGTCTTGATACAGCATGTTCTTCATCACTTATCGCTTCAGTTCCCTACACTGATGCACTTTAGATATAAAACAAGCACCCAGGAAGAGCTTTTGTGTCATATAGTGGACTTCATTTTAAACGGAACTATTCAGTATTAAGTTTGTGAAATACCACCTAAAATCTAAGCTGAACTGAATCGTCTCAAATATTTAAGATAGATAATAAGTAATATCTTATTGTATTTGTAAAATTATTTAAATATTTTCTGAAAATAAAACACTTGAAGGAAGTGAGTGCTTTTTCATCTACGCCTCAACGTTTTTCCTTATATCTAGTTACCTGTGAAGTTAAAATACCTTATTCGATAGTACACTTCTCCAGACGGTTGTGAATTTTACCTATTGTTCACTTGCTTTATACTGTCTGAACTCACTGCACGACGGGATAGCTAATTTGTTGGCTTTTCTGAAAACTCATCAAAGATTATTATTATTATATCCTTTAGTTCCTAGAGGAACATAGGGCTTCAGCTGCGCGTCTCCATCGCCTTCTGTTTTCTGCCAACTTTTTCACCCTGCTCCAAGTCTGCCCACAGGCTTTCATCTCCTCTTCACATGACCTCCTCAAGGTCACCCTTGCACTGACGACCGACTCGCCGCTTCCCTTTCGGGTTCCACTCGAGCAATGGCTTGTCTAGTGATGTCACTTGATGGTCTCCTCAGATTATGGCAAATCCATCTCCATTTCCTCCTGCCTATTTGTTTCACAATCGGTTCCTCGTTGGTTCGCTCATTGTCAGAGATCCCTGTTTCTGATCTTTTCTGGCCATCTGATCTTGAGTATTGAGCGAAGACAACTGTTAATGAAGGTCTAAAATTTTTTTGAGAAGCTCTTTATGACGCACCAAGTCTCTGATCCGTATAGTAGCACTTACGGAGTGCATTCACACGGAAATCTACAGTAGTTCACTAGTCCCGTTTACTTCACATAGTGATGCAGCTGACTATTGATGTCAGCATTCAGGGATTACAATCACTGGCTAGCAACACAGCGTTCCTTTATATTATAAAAGTGTGCATTTTTCAGCTATACAGTATGTTTTATGGTTCCTGAGATTCTACTCCTTAATTGAGGAGGTGACCGCTGGGTGACGTAATGTACCAGACAGACCGTCAAGTGGAATCTGAATGGGAAGTAATGTTTCGGGCCTCTGACAGTTATATAGAGGAGGCTATTTGAGTAGTAAGTGAAAAATAATGGGAAATCAGGAAGCCACCTAAAGCAGGTTATTTATAATTGGGTGGAATGAAAATGTCACTCTTAAACCACCAGAACAAAAGGAGCAAATTGTAGTGATAATATAATTAATAAAAGTGTAATACTGATGAAAATTTAGATTCACTATTGTTCCAGATGCTGAGAATTCCAAAATTTACCTAATATACTGTTTGAACTGAAGCTTTTATTATTATTATTATTACAGATATTATTATTGCTTCAGGTTATTTAATAAAAATGAGACCAATTCGAGCGTTTCCTCTCATAGGTCAAAAATACACAATCGACCGTTATGAATAGTCATCATTAATTATATGAAACACACCGTAGTTCATTATTCAGGTTCACAAATAGAAGGAAAACAGTCTTGATTTCTTCCAGAAGATATGGAGTCAAAAATCATCAGTAGGTCTCTCAATAGAAAACTTGATTAAAAGGGACCACGTTTTAGTTTGGTGGCTCATTATGAGTCAGTATTTCCTACATGACCCAGAAACCAGGAATTTCCCCCTAATGCAGAATAAATCTCAGCTAAGTGAATTTACACCAACAACTGCCCACCATTTTTAACACAGTTTATATTATCTAAAACTTGTAGACAAGATCGCCGACCTTAACCGGTGATATTCTTAATCGTAGTGGACTGGTTTATTCGTCAAACGGCGTGAGCAGGCTAGAAGACAGAAACACGTAGGAGCGATAAGGAAATCCAAGAAGATCTGCACTTCGCGGATGATTTATGTCTAGTGTCAAATGAATTCGAAGACCTGCAGGCAAAGATCAACAAACTACCTGATGAAGTAGAACAAACAGAACTTCAGGTAAACATAAAGACGATGTAAGTAATAAAGATAACCAGCCAGACACAACAACAGCAAGCATAAATCACTATCAATCTGAGAAATTTACTAGAGGACACTCCCTTCACTTATATAAGAGGCATCATTTCGACCACAGGTGGAACGGATGAAGAAATCACAGCCAGAATAAGAAAGGAGAGACAGACCTTCACCAATCTCAAAGCAGTTAGAAAATCTTCTTCACTCAAGAACGAAATTCGGATATCCAACACCATTGTTAAATAACTTCTTCAATGTACGTCAGAAACCTGACGCGCCAAGAAAGACATAGTCGATAGGCTACTGTAGATTCTTATCAACAGATGCATTCTCTCCATATCACAGGTCAAATGGGCAGAAAGAATGAGGAACTAAACTATGGGAAAAAACAATCAAAGAATCTATTGCTCAATAAATATGCCGAAGAAAATTGCAATGGAACGTACACGCACCGAGAAGACTGTTGAGTGTTATCTTGTGGCACGCCTTCGGGTGTAACCTGAATGGGGAACGACATATTGGTCGACGGAGGGCAACATGAAGGAGCTCGCGTGGGGAAGAGATGAGAGACTGTAGGCAATGGTAAACTCAGATTAAGAGAAATTCAGAAAACAGAACAAAATAGAGATGTGATGCTGATGCTTTAAATTCCCCTTGGAACCCAAGGGAGCAATAATGTTAATCTGGTAATTTATTGTCTTTGTAAGATAACCACATGAATAGTTGTAGTTTCTAGTGGCTCCACATTCGGCATGGAGGATAAATCTTTGCGCTCCCAGTAGTTCTTATGTTACTTCTCATTATGACATCATTAATCGGAGCTCTCAGTCATATTTTGAAGTGTTAGTTGAAATAAAGCCACATATCCCAGTATCTGCTTAACTGCAAAAATTTTGAATGATCAGCACTATACTGTCGTTGAGGTTTGCGTACCGGTTACGATGGTTCCATATTCAAGTGTCAGCTAAGGTTGTTTGTATTCAGTGAAAAGTAAAGTGAATTATGATCACTGAACAAAATGATCGAATTATTTATGGGCTTTGAAAAACGCTCGTCAACTAGTAGTTTATTTTAGTAGGAAGCATGATGGATTGAAAAATTACACTGGGAGAAATGTAAAAAAAGAAGTAAATTCCCTCATTTATCTGGGTGGCACCGATGCCGATGTAAAAGGTAGGATGTGGAAGGCATGGAGACTCTCATCACTCTACTTTACAGTTGTATACTTTTTAATGACATCTGGTCTATATCAAGCGAAAACATTTTCTGAGTCCCGATAAATAATTTTCCTGTTAGTATTTCTTACTGCTGAAGTTATACGGTGAGCTCATTCAACGACTGGATGGGCCAAATTTTCATTCACTATGGTTCATGTACTCCTCTCAGTTTTTAGCAGTTTTAGATTTCCGATTACGATATTGGACCTCATCACGAACCTTAAGTTGTTACTGGAGAGCTCTTAACTGGAAGGACCCGGTTTTATACCCAAATGGTTGCGTACTGATGAAGAGTTTCAATAAGGGTGGAACAGATGTCCAGTACTCCCAAGTTTTCCGATTCTTTTCTAACCAACATCGAATGACCTTGGCGGCCTGTTTGAATATTTTTGGGCTACCACATTCCATGTACATTTTGCATCTATTTACTCGTATTTTATTGGTATTTACATATCACATTATGCATTCTAATCGTATTATCTACTCCCGGGATTTTATAAAACGTTTTAAACCCAAAAACTTTCATATTTGCAATAAACTCAAGAAAAAGCACCATGGAGGTTGGCAGCGTGCCTTAAAATCTACACCCATACATCACACCACTGTTCCAGTTATCATTAGTACCAACTGCCGGTCCCTGCCTAATAAAATTCTGGATTTTCAGTCTCTGTTGTCTTCTAGTACCTACCACAATACTGGTATTGTCACTCTGCAAGAAACCTGGCTCCATGACTCATACGATGACAATATTGTGTCTCTAAACAATTTCAATGTTTTTCGACAAGACCGTATTTGTTCCAAGAAAAAGTGTGGTGGAGGTGTTGCAACTTTTATTCACTCAAAATGGTCCATTTCAAACAAAGTTTGTTTCAAATTCTCGAATGACTTCATTGATTGCATCACTGTGAGATGTCGCCCGAAACACATTTCAAAATACAAATTCATTTATATTTCTAATGTTTATGTCTCTCCTGGCTGTACCATATTGGATTTATCTATGTTCGCCGATGAATTCACCGCTTTTGCTGCAGCTTGTTTCGAGAACTCTTTATCAATAGTAACTGGCGACTTCAATGCTAGCGATTGCTCCTTCCTTATATCACTTGGTCATGACAATATTGTCAACTTTGCCACCCGTCTTGGTAAAAAACTGGACCTGGTATTTATCAATGATGTTGGTATATATGAAGCTCGCAAACGTGCTCCTCTACTTAATTCTGACCACTGCATCATACGTGTGCTGCCTAAAATATATTCCAAATCACACAAAGGTGTCCTCTCTCACCTCTACAGTAAAGTTCAACGGAGATGCTACTCAAAAGACAACCTAGACAAGCTCAGATGCATGTTGAAAGACACTAACTGGGACTTATTTACAGAACAAACATTAGATGAAACAATCACAAACACTACCGATTATCTTAAATTCTGTTTCGAAATATGTTGTCCTAAAGAAACATTATTCATCCGATTTGATCGCTTATCTT